CTGGACAGCATCCCACTTTCCCTGTCAGTGCTGAGAATCTATTTGCTCATGGGCAGGAATTCATGTTCAAAACAGTTGAGCCTGTTTTGGTCTCCAGTGTCCAACCCTCTGATTCATAGTTTTTTCTGTACAACAAATTACTCTGAACACTAGTTTGGAGTACAAGGAAATGTAATCCTGGTTAAGAATCTTGTCTTCATAACATATTCAAAACCATATTGATGTGTTGCGTGTGTGCTTCAGATACAATACCAATGCTTTGTAATAAATGACAGATGTATTTATTAATGAAATAAGGCACTTTAGAAACAAATGTAATTCAATTTCCTTATACTTTAAAGACGATATCGATGTTTTGCCTCAGTTTGTGGTCCGTTGTGGTCATATATGCTGTGCTAAATGTGATTTGATTATTCTGGTTCTTGTTGGATTACAATGTTTCATAAAAATGCGATGATGTTGTATAATAACACATCTCGCTGGTTTTGTGGGATGTCAATGATATCAGAAACTTGAGTAACAAAAACAACTGAAAAACAACTGAATCTTTTTTCCATTTCTTTTGTAAAGTTTTGTGTAATTTCAGTGCTCTGTCATTTAAAAAAAAAGTATCCTAAGAACGACAGACAACAGGACTGAATTGATAATGAAGGTGGAGTTAAGTGGGATTCTTTCAGGGAAGAAAATATAGCTACTGTGGCGTCGGAGACTCAGTTTATATGTGTACGGATGCTCGAAACGCGATGAATTACTCCAATACATCCAGGAGAATAATGTATCGTCTGCTGTGTATTCCATTCAATCTCCCTTAGTTTGGGATTCTCTCTGTAACTGAATTCTTACATTGTCCCTTTGTCCCATTCATCTCAGGGGTAATCTTCATCATTCAGCTTTCTATTCAGTGCTTCTGACAGTTTCATTTACAGGCTCCCTCTTGTCCTTCACTTGTCCTTCGCTTATTCCTTCCAGTGTCCCATTCTTCCAGCCTATTACTTCTTTGTCCTCTTGAAAATGTTGCCCTCTCTTTCTGTTTGTACTGTATGTGTGTTTCTGTTTGTCCCTGGACTGTAAGTTCTATTTGTATGACAAGAAGGCTTAAGTTGTCACAGATGTCCTCTTCAATCATAAACCCTGGTTCACCACTCAGCTACAGGCTGACTGACACTTCTTGACTTTCTTTCACTCTGTGTGGCACTTTCTCCCTCTCTCAGACTGATGGGTGTGAGAATTCCTCCTCTTTACCCTGCTTCCTATGACTCTCTCTCTCTCTCTCTCTCTCTCTCTCCTCTCTGAATGTCAATAGAGACTTGCCCCAGGTACACTTGACACTGCTGAGAGGAGTAGAGGGGAAAGTTGGCAGTCAATTATTAGACATGCTTGTAGATTCAGTATTCTGAAAGCACAGCATGAATCTGTCCCTGCAAAATCACTACTGACACAGATGTGGTTGTTAGCAGAGATCCTGGAATCTACAAACATTTCCATTTCCAGTAATCAAAGGCAAACCTCACTGATTTAAGACATCATTGTCCGTTTACTTCATAACTGCCCTTATGCGAGAATTAAGAAAAAAGTTGTATAAAGCCCTACGAGCCTCAAGAAGGAGGTGTGGTTGGATATGATAAATTGCTTCAAGTGATGTCATTTCAGTTAACAATCAGGGCTGAAGACCACACGATTAAATGTGACAACAAAAATAGAGTGAAAAAGATGAGTTACCTGGCATCTGAATGCAGCTTTTTTTTTTTGCTCGACACTAGCAGATTTAGGATAATGTATGGATATCCTTATCACTAAACAAACTGTAAGCAGCCCAGATGCATTCTGGGGAAAAAATGATTGCAGAATTTCATAAAATCCTGACGAGGGAGAAGAAATGGAAATAGAAAAAAACGTTGCTTGTGTCAATAATCAGCGGAGCAAATGTGTGTGTCTGAGAATATGTTAAACTAAACTAAAATGCAGAGTCCGAAAAATAAGTAATGAGTTGTGAATAAAACGTGGTCAACCCAAAGGTGGAAAAAGACAATATCTGTTTCAGCTGCATTGACATTGATGAACAGTTTAACATGAGAACAGTCGGGTTGTAAACACAACATGCACGTTCAAGTCATTGCAATTTCTGCAGGGCTGCGAGCGGATTCATTTGACTGTGTTTCATATTTGTAAAAGTGCAGAAAAGACTTTCTATCCTCCAAAAGGATTTAAAAAAAAAAATACAGCTTGGATCCAAACTGCATATTTCCTTTAATCTGCAGAGGAAGTGTGAAGTGCACTATCAAGAACCCATTTGCATTTCCATTACCAAACACTATTTCTATTTCTATTTCTATCTTTGCCTCAATTTGTATTTTCACTCTGAGAGACAAACAGGGAGCTGATATTTTTTTTTTCATTTAAAAATATGAGATCCTAATTTAAGAGCGAAAAGGCAACAAACTTGTGAGAAGGAGAGATAAAGAAGCAGAAGATTGTTATTGAAGAGTTTATCATGGGGAATGTGAGGAATTCTTTTTGTTGTTGTTGGTGCATTGTTTAATCTTGAAACATGTTCGATCTTGTTACACCTTCAGAGCTGTTTACGGAGCTATCAGCTAATTGAGCTCCCTTTTAAAAGCACTCCATTGGATCTGTCTTATATGACTTTATAGTGTGTCATATGCTTTCAGCTACTGAGAACCAAATGATCCCTCAATGAAATGCAATGCTTTAAAATGCTGCTAACATTACATTCATGTTAATGAAACAACATTTCAATGTGATCCAAGTTACTACCTTTAATTCTGGTACTTTGAGTACATTTTTCTGTTGAAAAAAATGATAGAATATATAAATAAACATTGATGCACAGCCAGATTTTATAGAACACACAACCATTCCAGTGCGTGTAGGACACTTTTATCTTCTAGGTTCCCTCGCACACATACCTGACCCAAATGACTGAGCGAGCAAGTGAGGAAGAGCCAGTGCCCTAATGCTATACCTATATCACACCCAAACTCAGATTAACCACAATTAGCCATGACAACTGGCCTAAAAACAACCGCCAGCTAAATATTGGGAGCAATGTACATTAGTATTATATACCATTCCAGCTTGGTATAATGCTTTGTATTGACATGAAGTTAAAGTCGGTATTGATCTAGACTGCATCATACTTAGTTTGACAGATTCAGATGCCCTTTTTAGCTCATCCGCCTGTCTTTGTCAATCAAGCGGACTCTTATGTGGTTGATTATACTTTGAAACAAAGTATGTACATTAAACAAAGCGTGTTTGTGTGGAACTGGATGTGAAGGTGAAGCAAAATATAATAACATGATGTTGCTTATCAGCGTTTACTTACTTGCATTAAAGCAATATCACCCTGAAGGGCTTTGTCTTGTTCTGCCACCTTGTACCTATGACTCTAACGTGGTTCCTGCATTCTGGTTTATGTTGAGTGGAGCTTCTCATGTGTAAATGTCCATTGATCCATTGCCTGCATTATGGTTTATGTTGACGCTTTGCTCTCCACTTGTTCAGTATGTATTGTAATATAGCAATACAAACTAGACTCTCTCAGGGACATAGAAAAGGACGGCTACTTTTAAGTAGTTTTTTCATAACTCAGAACACACATGCTGTGATTATACAAACGGGCAACAACCAAGGTTATTTTCAGGAGAAAGACTTGCTTACATGTATTAATTTTTTTTTTTTTTTGATGATGATTGTTTTTAGCTGTAACAGCTGCATAGTTCATGACACTCTCAACCATGATGAAGTCACATAAACACAAGTGCTTCGTCACATCTAGATTGTATAATCAAGCCCTTGCACTTGATTGACACACAAACCGGTGCAGAAGTTGTGTTTGCAAGCCTTGCTACGTGCACTGAGGCCATTTACAATGTTAATAGAAAGTCCACAAAGAATATCATTAAACATACTTTCCTCACCTCTGGTTCTCTTTGAGGATAATCTCCTGACTTTATGATAATGGAATTTATACATGAGAAGATCCACTCTTAACTCCAGGTGATTTAACGTGTCTCTTCCCTTGGTTGGCCCTCTTTAATCTGTAATAGAGGTTAAGTCGTTAAGTAAATAGAAAAGCTTTGAATACATTTTCATGTTATCTATATCCATAGCATGCATTTAAACTGATAATATGATTGTTCGGGGGGGTGGAACCTAACGTAAAGAAAGATATCCAATTGTGAGGATATGAAGGGCAAGAATGTATCTGAGTGTAGATTTGGTCTGGCCTATGTGATTCAACAAAGTATAATAAAGAGTTTGACTCAACTTAATGTGAAACCCCAGTCGAATATGACTGGTATCAAAACCTTTAATAATCGTGATGTCTTTATCAGGCTCTATTCACATTCGTGCGAAATGAAGTCTAGGCTCCTTTACAAAGAAAGAAAGCACCCGCCTACTGTAGGTAAGGGAGACAGACCTTAGCTGTTGCAGCCTTGCTACGGTACCATGATGCATCACTCTCTGGACCAGCTCATTCCGCTCAGTTCCAACATGTTCTCCTCCGTGTCGGATGACAGTTCAGTATTATAACATAAAACACTCAAAAATAACGTGAAAACTTTTTACATAGAAAATCTGGGAAACAATCAATTGTCTCTCATCCAACCTTCCGCCAAGTAGCTCACAGTCCCAAACATTTTCCCTTTCTTGCACACCTGCCTGCCTCAGCTGATCAAGACAGTGGCTTCCCAGCCACTGGCAGCACAACCAAGCAGGAAGGCCCGCCCCATCTCTAGCTTGAGAGCCTTGCGATACAACCTTTCAGGGATATTGTTTGCGTAACAGTGAGAATAGATGATAATCTAGTGATTCATTTATACATTAATAAATATCAATGTGTTTAGACATATCCTCGACACAATTTTTTTGTGGCTTCGGTAAGTTTGCTTGACTGCCAGAGGTAAAAAAAGTGTTAGCACAGATGCTGTTGTCTGACTCTTTTCCCCTCTGACTGTTTGTCTTTTTTGTTCAAGATGGGAAATGCCTCCGAAACATTTCTGTTGCTGTCCAGAATATCGAAAGACAGTGACTTCCTCATGGGAACTATTTACACCATTTTCGGTGAGTGATGTTGTATTTTCCCCCCAGGATTCACAGCATTATTTATGTGACTGCACATTCAAAATCACTCTGTTCCACCTTTTAGGTGTGCTGTCAATGCTGGGAAATGGGATCCTGCTGTTCGTGGCCTATAGAAAGAAGTCCTCCCTGAAGCCTGCAGAGTTCTTTGTGGTTAACCTGGCCATCAGTGACATGGGCATGACCATTAGCCTGTTCCCATTGGCTATCACTTCAGGGTGTGAATTGTGTAATCCATCAGAGGAATTCTGCATGGCAATCCTGCATGATTTAGGATCAGAATGTCAGTCAATAATATTTCTCTCCCTTTCTCTCTGTGTCTCCATTCAGGTGGCTGTTTAATGAGACCACCTGCATTGTCTATGCCTTCTGTGGGGTTTTGTTTGGCCTGTGCAGTCTGACCAACCTCACGGTGCTCTCATCTGTCTGCTGGCTCAAAGTCTGCTGCCCAAACTATGGTAAGAAACCTAATTTCTAGCTCCTTGATCTACCATCATCAACAACATTTTTAAAAAGTATTTTTGGTGTCCATATATTAATATTGATCATCTAGAAGGCAGGCTTTTCCTGGGTCGATCAACTAAGCTTTCCCCTGATACCAAGGAGCTTTATTTCTGAAGAGAGAAATATTCATGCAGTGAGGTCAAAAAGTCAAGGGCTTGGTTTAAAGTGAAAGTTGCCACACTGCATAATGATTGATGCGCAATAAAATGTTGTAAAGTCTTTAAACAGAAGGTTATGTACTGTAAATAGTCTGAGGCTTCACAGGACTTTAGATATACATCCTCCTCTTTTATAATGTATTCCTCTTCAGGGTCTTTCGTTTGAAATCAGAATCAGGTTTTATTGCCAAGTACATTTACACATACAAGGAATTTGGCTTGGTGTATTGGTGCTAAACAATTTTCAATCAGGAGAGACTTACTTGAGAATGAACTATTATTTATTTAACAATAAATGTGGAACATTTTAGATTTGAATCTAAATGTGACAACTTCATGTACTCGGAAGGGTAATGAGGCCGACAGCAGGATAGGATATCCCCCAATGGAGTCTAGACACTGGTGGTGGTGAAGAGGAATGGAGGTGACTGGGCGGTGGTGGCTTGCAGCGGTTGCCCTGAAATGACGAAATGACTGTGGAAGAGAGAGAACTGTTTTAGCATTTTGCCGCAGCAGGATGATTGGTTGAGAGAGGTTGTGCCCAAATCTGGTTGGTTAATTACTTAAAGAATAAACGCCCATTATCAGCTGATCACCAGAGCCGATAGACGGAGGAAGTAGTTTAAGTTGAAGTGAAAGGATGAATGAATTTGTGAAAGAATATAACCAGTCTTCCTGTCTGAACTTACGCTGAGCTTCATAACAAGGAAATAACTCAGAACAAGCAACAACTCAGATAATACAGTATAAGAAGCTATTACAATATATATAATAGAATTTAAAAATGTAAATTATAAAATATAAAAAATAAAAGACACAAAATGTACAAAAGGTGCAATGTAGGAGCTGTGTAGTGGACATTGAGAAAAAATCTTACAGTGTATGTAACCTACTCACAGAGTGCACGTAAGAAAATAAATTTAAAGTCCAGTGGGCGTTAATGTAACGCATAAAGAACAGTTCAGCATTCACATTACTAACAAACCATCCAATTATTGGCATCAATGATCCCCTGGCTGCATGTATTACTACTCAGTGTTCACTTGTGAATTTCACATTTCATTTCAAGTGTTGTTCATTTTCACAAAACTGGAGTAAAATATATTTTTAGAGCCATAAAGTCAACAGACCTTTGATAATATGATGTACAAAATGTACCAACCCAGAGAGACTTGGTGGTTACATTTAAACTCAGTATCAGCGAATCTGTATTCATCTTCTATTGATAAGATGATTGTGTGGTAACATTTTATGGAAACATGACGTGCATTGCTAATAGTACTGTTTGAGGTCTACGGTTGACGCTCAGATGTTAAGTACACTTAAGATAGGTTACTCAGTCAGAGTCCTGTTCAAAGCATTAAATAGCACTTTACATAAAGAGTTTACATTATTGTCAAGGTGAGAGACTTTATGAATTATAATGCCATGGAGCTTAAGGTTAAGTGCTGCCAATTTACAAATCAAAGTTCCTAAGAAGGCCAACAGAGAGAAAAACACTTTTACACTGTTTGTACTCATGTTTGTATGATTTTATATTTTTGTTCATATTTGTCTTATAGAAGTGTAAACCACTGTTTATAATAATAGAGCAATAAAGTGATGTAACAGACAGCAGGGAAATGAGCTAAACTCTCCTGTTATGATGAAGTTCACAGATATAGTCACTTTAAAATATATGTCCACTAACATTAACAGGAACACTTAGCTGATACTCTGATGTGGTATTTTCATGTCCTTCTCTTTGAGTTATATTGTTCAAGTTAGAGGGCCTTGGTGCAATTCCCATAGAGCGGAGAGAAAAAGAATTCAAGCCGAAGATTAATTAGCTTCATTTGCTAATTGGTTGCAATAAACAGGCCTGTGTTGAGGATGAGATAATGCCAAAACAACACTGGACTGCTAACACAGCTCCGCAGAGGCCATATCTGATGTGCTCAAATTGTAAATGCAATAGTTTATATAACTTCTCAATTATCCAGAAGATAACTAAAACTCCTGCAAACTTTAGTCAACCAATGACAAACTGAAGATTTAGCAAAAAGGCTTTAGTCGTGTGGCTCGTGAACTCCTTCCACTCTCATTGCTATGACTGCAAAGTGTTTAAGCAGCTCATTGCTAATGAGTATAATTAATCTTTTGGCTGAAGCCATTGAGGATTTATTCACAGGATTGACTGTGTTCACAACTTTAAGCAGCCTAGACGGATGACTTAGAGTCTCAAGTTTTTTTTTAAAAATACACTGCTAGAAAGTACAAACATTTAATTACATGCACATGTTCCCATCGGCTATATGCTTCTATGGTATATCAACATTTAAAGGAGGTGATTTCAGTTGGTGTTTTTTTCATCTGTCACTCCTAATGTATTTCAAATCAATTTCTTGTCTTCCGTAAATATGCAATCATTTCACACAGAACCACTCAGTCATAAAATCTTCATTCATTTAGAAATATTGAATCTCCACTGCAAATATTTTGGTATTATTTGACACAAATAGCAGAATATTGACTTCACTCAGATGCTCCGTCCTTTTCAGACTTTATTCATCCATTATCTGTGAATGGCAGCACATTTGTTTGTTCGAGCACAGATTGTATGTACACTCTTGGAGTACAGAATCCAGGGATTAACACATTTATATGCTTTCCACATTCGCTCTTACCCATACACACTCCAGGGGGTACACAGACTGACTCATACGGTGTCTATATGGTTTATGATGCTAGACAAAAAAAGGTAGAAGATGCACAAATGAGGCATAGTTACTTATAGTTATAGTTAAAAAGAGAACAGAGAGAGGAAAATGTGGGTCCATGAAAAAAATTAGCACAGCTTGTAAAAGCAGCATGGAACAGACTTAATTTGTCTACATCCAACATTGCTTTTAATAAGCACAGAAGTCAGGGCTGCGTTTTCAACAGTTCCCCTTGTCTGTTTTTCCAGAAGAAGATTGTCTATAATGCAGTGTAAAACCCCTAAAGACTACAAGCCTCACAAATAAAAGTGTTTGAAGTGCAAATGAAACATTAATAATTACGTCTTTTTGAGAGTTCCCTGCAAGAAAAATGAACACAGCGTACACACGGTTCAGCTTCCCCTTGTTCCACTTTTTTTTCCAAACTAGTTTAGTCACTGTAGCTGACAGCCGTCCTTGTTAAACACACAGACACACACATTACCATGAAATATTAAAAAGACTCAAGGCATCATTAACTTTTAAAAAAAATCACAGTAAATCAAAATGTTCCACATTGAAATGTCACAAACGCTAGCACCAAGGGTGGCCAATCAGATTTCAAGGGGGCCAACGCCTCCCTCTGGACACGCCCCTTGAACGAGGAAAAGAAGCAGCAGTATAACGTAGAATCATTCAGTTCTCTTTGGTTTGCAGAAAAAAAACTGTACATATTGAAGTTATTGTCCTTTAGATCATCCACATATCGGCTGTTTCTTTTTCAAAAGACAGTTTCCCCTTTTGAAAAATCTGCAATGTGCCAAATGTAAGCAAGTGGGTTCCATTGGGCGACAAGAGCCAGTGAGTGGAGTGCTTTGCATGAACATTAGAAAAGAAACAAGCAGTGTAGGACCTGTGTTTATGAAATAACACAAAAATCATGATAAAATTCATGCAGTGCTGACACAAGGTTCAGATTCCATGTGTCAAGTTAATACAGAGAGGTTATCACATGAAACTCAACTTGGGCTAATCAGTATCAGCTTGCGAAGGACAATAAACTCTGGTTTGACTGCACTAGATGTCTGTGAACTCTCACACTCACTGAAATCATCATTTCCAATATTTGGGGCACTGGTGGCACAATGGTTAGTGCGCGCACCCTATGTATGGAAACTGTAGTCCTCAAAGCGGGCGGCCCAGGTTCAAATCCTGCCTGTGGCTCCTTTCCCGCATGTCTTTCCCCATCCTCACTCCCTGATTTCCGACTCTATCCACTGTCCTATCTCTTCATCAAAGGCACAGAAAATCCCCCCCCCCCCCAAAAAAAATATATATATTTCTAATACTTCACTGCAGCCACAAAAAAAATATCCTTCTTGCAGGATCTGCAGAGACAAGAGATATTCAAATACACAAAACTAAATTGATGGCTGATGAGCAGCCTTAAATTTTTGTTTAGATTTTAGTTCTTTAGTTGAAGGTCCTTGAAACTTCTGTACAATGGTTGACCCTTAAAAGCATTCCTACAGCCCCTTATCTACTTTTCTAGTCGATCTCAGAAGGCCTTAGATCACATAGCTGAATTTTTCTGACATATTTTTGCAGAAATGTCTTCGAGAGAGGCACTTAAGAAAATGCAAGAAGAGGCAACTGATGAATAAAAACATGAGAAGTTAGCAAAGGAAAGGTTGCATTGGGGACATGTGGGAGCGTAATGGAGGGTGCATCTTCCTTTCTCTTTTTTATTAGCATTTTGTCACAGTTGGAGTACCGCATTTGAGTATTTGTTTTTCGAATAAACCCCAGCTCATGACAAATCAAACCATCACCCAGTGGTGTAACATCGGCATGTGAATCTGGTGATTCCTATTTGCTTAAATCTACAGCACCGACGGCTGCTGATGAACCTGTGAACGCCAGCTCGAAGTCCATCAAAGAAAAGACTGAGCTGGGTGCGTCTTACATGTCCACAGCGAGAGAACTAATTGCAGGAGGGAGGTGGGGTATACGGGAATGGAGAGGGATCTGGGAATTTCTGTACAGTTAAAGAGGGCTGACGTACAGATAACTGACAACAGAATCAATGTGATGTATCAGTCCAGATGTTAAGTGCTATTGGCTGTTAAAATTGATGTCTTTCAGGCACCAATGAGCTGAAATGGATCTCAATCAGAGGCTATGTCACAACAATCTCTGTATGGCACGCATGAAGGGAACACACAAAGAGCATCACAGACAAAAAGGTTGAAATGCTTCATCAGAAACACAAGCGATGAACCCCAAATGTATTTGTTTACCTTGCAGCCAATTCAACCTCCTACTAGTCATTTTCCTTTATTTACTTACAACGACAGAGGGTACCAAATCTTTATTTGAATCAGGCTTGTATTGGAGTAAGACTTTAACACTAATTTGCTCTTTTTGTTCATTTTGATTGTCACCGTAAACTACAAGGCCTTGTGGGACCTGCGGTTTCCTCCTTTAACGTTACTTTATGAAGGCTGTTACAAACTCAACCCAGACTGTATCTGTTCCAACATAGAGGTCCTTTAGTGTCTCAGTTGACAGTATCCCCATTTTTAAAACGAGGGAGTTGCACATTTAACATCACTTGAAATGTTGCTACTGCCCCCTTGTTTCACATCCATGTAACTATAAATTACAGTTTGGTGGTTATTATGTACTTGTCAAAAAATAATTTCATTAATGTTTTTGTAAATAAAATGCATGTTGTTATTAGTTGGTCGCACATTGTGTGAACCCTGGCAGTATTGGGTACCAACCTTCATTTGTTTGTATTAGCCATTAGGCCATTATTTGGCGTCAGTTTTACTTTTTGACTTTCGTATGAAGAAATACAATACGCTGTTTAAATAGGCATCAGTCAGGATTAATGTTATTACTTAAAGAACACTACAACTGATCTTCTTATTCCATTCCTAAAACGTGAATTTAAACTGCAAGGGCACATGTTCGAGATCCTCTTTTACAAATTAAAGCTCAGGTTGAATCCTTCATATGCCACTCAGATAGCTGAACAGGGTGATTGTTGATTGGATGCTCCTCATCAGAAAAGAATAATCCATCTGTAAAGGCTCACCAGCCCCCTTCCCCAGCATGGCAGAGTTCAGCGACTGCCACAAGGCTTAATCACCCTCAGCTTGAAATGAAAGACGGCTGACATCCAGCTGAAGAGGCTGTGTGCGCTCAGAGATAAGGCTCCCTGTGTTCTCCTCGTCACTGAGTCCACACTGAGGAAGCTCTCGTCTAAATCAATTACAGTCAGTTAGCAGCGAGGGGGGGTTTCAGGCTTTCCCATGGATCCTCTTATTCACTCTCTGGCAAATGAGAGATGACAAAATTTGGAACCACTAATGACGGTACTATGAACAGAATGCATTGTGGATACTGTAAATGACACATGACCCCATTAATGAAGGACTTCCCCCTTTTAAAAAAGTAAACCTAAAACAAGGACACACAACAGATACAACAACATGTATTAGTGTACAGTGAAGATTCGGGGGGGGGGGGACAAAATAGAATTTGTAATACATTTTCTCCATTACCAGTTTACATTTATAGTATTGCAAATTATAAATAACTTCAGTTATTTAGACAAGTCAATATCGTTTTCTTCCATTCCTAAATTATAGGAGACTTATGGGAAAGTTTTTGTGAATCAGTTTTGGAACATGTTTTGACCAGAGATTTTATGGAATCTAATTAAATAAAATAGGAGAAAAAGTGGTAGTTCTTTTAAGAGGGTTAATTTGTTTATTTTAAAGCCAATAAGAAAACTATTAGAGGGAATACAATGGACTGTTATTATACCTGATTCTACCTTATTTTTCTGTGTGCATGATTTCATAAACTGATCTGATATACAAAAGAAACAGTTATACTGACAAACAGTGCTGCTTTTGTTTGCTAATGTGAGGTTGCACACAAGACCACAAGACCAGGGGCAGTACAGTAAAATGATTGAGTAGCTCCTTAGATGTTTTTTTTTTTTAAACACATACTAAGGCCTCTAGGTAAACATGCTGCATACACCCAAAATAATGTTTTTATGTAGGCTCTAGTGTGCATTCCCCAGGGACAGATGATCTCTTATCTGTTCAAGCAGTGGTCATTAGCTGATAACACAGGCTAAAGTAACTCCAAATCATCTGTAAACAACAAATCATCCTGTCATACTGATCCATCTTTGAAGGAAATCAGAATCTTTATCATTCTGTCTTCCATTTCCTCCCTCTCACTCACTGTATGTTTTAGCATCAGGTAACCAAACTTAATATGCTTCAGTAGCATATTGTTGCTTCTGTATCCTTTGTGTTCTCATTCGTCAGGAATCACTCCACCAACTCTCCCTACTCTCCCTCTGTCTCTCACCTGTTCTGCTCCACCTCAGGAAACAAGTTCTCCTACTGCCACGCCTGCCTGCTGGTAGCCGGGGTCTGGTGCTATGCTGGCGTTTTTGCTGTGGGTCCCCTGTCGGGCTGGGGAGAGTATGGCGCTGAGCCTTACGGTACAGCATGCTGCATCGACTGGAATGCGCCCAGCCAAAATTCTGCAGCTATGAGCTACATCATTTGCCTCTTCTTCTTCTGCTACATCGTGCCCTGCACTGTCATCTTTCTGTCCTACACGTTCATCCTGCTGACTGTCCGAGGCTCACGACAGGCTGTGCAGCAGCACATGTCCCCGCAGAACAAGATCACCAATGCACATGCGCTTATCATTAAGGTAAACGCAAGGATTCAATTAAAAAGATTCTATAAAGGCCTAAGAAAAAATGTGCTTACATGACAAATGTTTGTTGTATTCTTTTCAGCTTTCAGTGGCAGTTTGCATCGGTTTCCTGATGGCATGGAGTCCATATGCCATCGTGTCCATGTGGGCGGCTTTTGGAAACCCAGAAACTGTACCACCTATGGCGTTTGCCTTGGCAGCTATATTTGCAAAGTCCTCCACCCTTTACAACCCTATAGTCTATCTGGTCTTCAAGCCAAACTTCCGTAAGTCCCTGTGCAGGGATGTGGCCCTGTGCAGGAGGTCACTCTGTGGATGTCTGTGTCCGCACAGCTCCACACAGAAGGGAACTTGCATGCGGTCCCATCACCGAGAAGAGTGCAACTCCACAAGGTTGTCAAATGGGCTGCCCGAGAACCACGGGACCTGCAGACACTGTCCTTGCCCTGAAACAGTCACTGGTACCAGAGAACACTTTACAGACGAAAGCCCCTTGAAAACTGTCAGGCTACTTAAAGGATCAGCACACACTGAGGTGGCTGTGAGTCAGCTCTCCAACGAGATGCAGAGCGACTTCCTCTAAATACACATGAGCAACCGGTCAAAAAGGAGGTTAAAAAACAAGAGTAATGGAGAGAAAGACAGCAAGAATGAAAGACACTTATGGAAAGTTTGCAACAAGGGGAAACAAAAGATTAAGATTGATTGAAGGAAAACAATGTTTTAACACTGAAGGTCAGAGTTTAAAAACTAAGAACTTTCTCATGCCTCAAATATGTGACACTGCCATAAACAACAAAAACAAAATGACCACAGACTTAGTAGCCAATACAGGGGGATAATCAAGCCAAACAGGCAACATGCAACCAGAAGTGTACATCAATATTTCATCAGGTAAATTTAACCTGCGTCAACAACTATCTGATCACTTTGACTGATCAACATTTAAAAAACAAGGCAAAGAATCCATGGAATCTCAGATGCAATTCAATTCCAGCAGGATTTTGATGGAGAAGCTGAAATGTCACTTTCTGCACCCTAAACTACCTTTTGTGTATTTATTACAAGGACTGTATTTAAAGATGTATTTGGTTTGATAATTATTTATGAATGCATGCCTCAAATTGAAGGACCACAGGGTTATTGTTGCCTCAACATTTATCTACATTAAGTAAACCTAAGAGGTGGGGGGAAGAAAATGTAAAGTAAGGATTTGGCTAAGCACGGCCATCATTACATGTGTTGAAATGAACAAGGACATTCTTCAATACGTCCAGGAAGGGTTTGCATTGATTCTCCTGCAAAGACAAGTTGCCAATATGAATTTGTCCAAATGGCTGTGTCCATCACAGAAGGCATGACTAAATAAGAAAAGAAGAAGAGATGGGGGGAAGGACTCCAAACAACAGAATATTTGTTCATTGCTTTTCTGACATGAAATACACACAAAAATTCAATGAATGCAATGAGGAGAGTCATTATGTGACAGAGAGGAAAGGTCAAATTACATTCTTTCTATCAGATGTATCACACGTGTTTGGAACAACAAGCTTGTACTGACATATGGCTTTTATTTGACCTGTTTTTCAATCTTTTATAGCTGATAAAACAGAGAGCTGGCTCTTGAGAATAAGAGAATAAAGCTAGTTGTGATTACACAATGACATCTTTTATTTACAGGAGACTGATCAGCTGCTACATAGATTATTTTAGACATGACCCACTGAGAAGAGGAAAGTTAGAAATAAATTCTGTTTTTGTTTTTTCACAACCAAAGTGATTGCTGAGGTCTAGACTAGTAGACGGTGCAAGAAACCAAGGATAAGACTTTCAGACGTGATGTTTTTTTAAGACAACAGCTTCATTTTTGCATTGTTGGTTTTAAAGAGTGCTGCCCATATTGCTGCTAAATTGTGAAAATTGTGTGCACACGTTTGCCGTAAATACTGTGGGTTAAAGTTGCAGGAAGTCAGTCTGTGAACTGTGGCTGATGTTTACAAAGGACAGCTGTGATGATCAAGTTTTCCAGCTTTTTTCTCTTCAAAATATATTGTGTTAGTTTTGGTTTAAAACTGGTATGAAGCCAAACTTGTATCCTTCTTCAGACTTGTTTTCTTTTAGCAATGTTGTCTCATTCCCAGACTAAATCAATTAACCTTTGTCGGTCTATTATGATTGTTGCTGACAGGAATGAAGATAAGACCCAAAATGTTAATAAACTTGGGGGGGGGTTATGAAAGCAAGAGAAGGAATAATCCTGTGGTTTGTTTATACCTTTTGTGTGTATTTTTCTAAAATGGGACTCCATTGGCAGAATACAAGTGTACAGCTCCTCTGACAAAACATTGTATCAGCAAATTCTTCAGTCTGATACAAAAGAACAAAACAAAAAAGAAGACTTTAATGTGAATATTAATCAAGATCCTCGGGCGACTTATAAAAGAGGAATAATTAATTTGATGTCTGTGCATGGATATACAGAAGGACACTTAGTGCTCCCCTTGTCTCTTAGTAAAAAGACAATGTGTTGCTTGATAAAAGCATCTGAAACTTGAAAGACACAAGGCTTTGCCTCAGCACCTGCCAACATTATTCAGATTTGTACAAAAAAAAATGAAAATGCCCATGGTGCACAGTTAAGCTAAACCGCTGTGTTTGTCAAACAAGCAGTTTTGTACATCTCTCCTGGCAGCAAGGGTCATCAAGCAAAAGTGCAAAAGAAAACCTGCTATGGGAAAGATTAATTAGATCTGCTGAAGCGCATGTTGTGGTTCCCTTGCAAGACTATTATGGCATTTCATGATTCCTTTCTTTAACAGGGTGCGAGGGAAGATTTGCAGTTGTGTGCAATTTTCACACAGTACCTGACTATGAAAGCTGTTCACATTGTCATGAAATATTTTGCTTTAAGTCATCCAAAACAACCGTGTCAGCACATGTGATGTATTCTGCTGCAAAAAAAATGCAACAAACCGTGGTTCCTCCAGGGACCACTGAAGGCTGGCTTTTAATTAAGCCTAAGAGTTATTCATATATTTCCGTAATTGGGGCATGGATGAGTTTGACTGACAGGTGGATGCATTGTAGCATTTTAGCTGTTCAAGGCCCGCCACATCTCTGCCTCTTTCCTTGTTTCTAGATTAATTGAAAGTTTGGATTGAGATAACGTTTCCAATATTGTGACTGCCATTGTCGGTCTTGATACGGCCTCTTCAGAAACCAATGGGGGACATCACTGAGACTACTTAGATGGTTTATACAGTTGATGTATTTTTTAATCCTACTTGGGATACTTGCTTTTAGTCTATACTAAGTCTATATATATATATCAGAGAGGGGAAATGGTATCAGAACTTCTTTAATTGTTAAATAAAATAAACTAAGTGAAAGTATGGCTCAGTCTAAAAAATAAGGATACTGAATCAAGGAAAAGATAACGGTATATGTCTCACAGAATGACTCCCACACCACCTCTTGCACTAATACCATTAGACGTGATTTATGAGATACAGAGTCATCAAAGGGAGTCTCTCTTGGAAAGTCTTCAATTTTATTGTTAGAATTAGTGTTAAAATGTGAATCCTTCACCCGAGGCTAAGCTTGAGGTGTGAGGTGAGGTTAAAGTAGCCTGAGGCTTTCTTTCATCAGAGTGGATTTGAGCCTGAGGTGGTCACACTGAAAAAAAACCCCATCATTTATAGTGACAAACAAGACTTTAAAGGACATGTCTAATGGCTGTTTGAGGAATTTTTGTCATTTATTTTGAATAGATAACCAACAACTATTCAGCTGTGTGGGTGTACAGCGAAGCAGCTATCTATAGCCTCCAGGGTGAACACATCACAAGAAACCCTTTAAAGGTTTAAGGAACAATTGTTTCCTACATGGCTGTACTCTGATGTGTTTATGATGCTTCTGGTATCATGTTGGGATTTCATAAGATTAAGGAGAAAATTTGTGTTAAAGTTGGAGGATTATCTTAAGAATTTTCTGCTGGAACCAAAGCTTACTGTCACCCTTTACATTCACTGTCAGAGCCGAAATGTTGTTTTTGACACTTTTCTACCAATATGCAGGTAACACTTGCAAAAAAAACATACATATCAAAGTCGTTGCTTCCAGTCCAGTGCTGGACAGGCTAATTGTTTTGGCCTGTACTCTGTGGGATAAAGATGGAAGTACAAACCAGGATACATAACTGAACATAACTGTGAAACTCTGATTCTGATGTCTGTTTTTCTATTCTGTTCTACTGTTTCTACCTTGGTCATCTCCATGTGTCTCCATATATACAAATAAATAGACGTCAGGGAATTCATGTAGACCTTGTTCTCATGACATGTGTATGTACAGATGCCAAATTAATGAATATACAAATCTATTTTATTATTATTTCAGTTTAAAAGTGTTATTAATAGGAGGTTGAGAAACCTCTCATTGGGAATTTAAATGGGGGTGATGGGTTTTTTTATGTTGTTTAATTTCTGACTTGGCTTTGAAATTGTCTCTGTTCATGTTTTATTACCAATCAGCCTGTAGGTTTCTGGATTCCATCGCTGCAGTTGGAATCCATTTTCTTTGAATCCTTTAATATTCAGTAGAGTAAACTTAGATGAACTCATATCACCGACACAGTTGGCACATTATTATGGTTACAAGACCATTATAACACGGCCAATGCAGTAGAGTTTTACTATTTGAGTTTAATTTACCAACATGGCAAGTGTGAAGTAAAAAACGATTATGATGCATAGTTCATTCAGCTTCTATGAAGGTGACTTTTTCTACCTCCCAATTAATAATGGAATGTATTTGTGGCTTTTGTGTTTGAGCGCAAGATGTACAGCATTTGAGATGAAGAAATCTCCCTCCATATTGATTTACATTTCATTTCAATGTGTTCACCTTTACCATCATTTTACTTGTCAAGAAGAAGCCTGTAAACATGACAAAAACTCTGAGTGTCCAATTGGACACATGAGATTCTGAATCAGCAGACATTTCATGTGCTGCATTTGTAAGTGTTTACGATGCAATTCCTGGAGGCTTTGAATGATATGGTAAATGTTTAGCGTGCTACACTCTGTATGACTGTGGTAATTAGCTGTAAATAATGTCAAATGTGATAAGGAGAACACTTCTACAATCTCCTGTCAGCAGCTGTAGAGCAAAGTCTTTCTCTTTGTATTTTTTTTATTTTGTCTTGTGAAAAACAAACACTGTCCTCAGGAGATTTGCTACTGGACACTCTACTGTGTATGTACTGTGTACGTCTTATAGAGCCCCCCCAGGTTTCTAAGACACAAACAATGCTGAATGTGAAGTGTTGTACATATATATGTATGTTAATATATGAAAAAAAGTTTATGTATCTATAAAGGTTTTAAATAAGACATTTTATTATTGTTGTCGTCGTCAGTGAAGTTTAAATGCATTGTGAAAAATGTTTACATCTTTTGTTAATTTTTTGTTTGCTCTAAAAAATAATAAAGGATTGTATGAAAAATGTTACGTTTATCCATTCAAGGACTTTAATTCATTCTGAGGTGTAAATTGGATGGTGAAAAAATGTATTTCAGGATTCCAGGACAGGAGAGGACAGTTCTCTTTGCTCTTTAGTTCCATTGTTTTGCTGTTGATTCTGTTTCTAGCGTATTGATGACAGTGCGTCATAAAGAAGCATTATGTAGCCCACTCATTGAGCTGCAACCTTGAAGAGCCACACTACAGCTAAATCTTCATAATACACAAAAGGAATGCTAATGGCTCAGTGAGGCTGTGTTGCTAGGTGAAAAGCAGTGCAAATAATACAGACTATTGGAAGAAAATATTTTTACCTGCATATAACGCAAACCTTTCGAAAAACTCACAGATGCGTGAAAAAAAGACTACTGTGTAATCAGAACTTTGTGAAATTTGCTTGATCCACTGTGACGGAGGGCTGAGCAGAAGGTTTGCAGGTTTAAAAGCTTTTTCTTGATGTGTGTTATTTGAAAAGAAAAAGATAACTGCCCAAGCTTGCCAATCTGAGCTCCTGCAGTCCACAAGTGTTATCTCTGTCCCCTGCTGTAGCCCTGACATGTGGACATTTTTTTTTGATGACGCACACATGCTACAGCACAGCCACTGACATGGTTTCAGATACCACTAGCACCTTCACACACACACACACACACACACACACACACACACACACACACACACACACACACACACACACACACACAGAGTCAAATACAGCCTGTCATGGCATTCCATCCGAGAGAGGTCAAGATGTTCCACATTTAGTTAAAGCAAATGTGTCAAAAGTCAAGTGGACATAACTTTTTGAAGGCTCCATCCTCAAGGAGAAATAGATATATAGACACAGTTTTTAACAAAGCAGAATGGAAACATGTCCGGGGTCTCGAAGGGAAACACAAGAAAAATGTCCAAAAAGAGAAAAGGTGGACACCAAGTTTGAAGACAGTGCAGAGATAAAATAATATGTTTGTCCTTTGTGAAAATGCATTCTAAAGATCAACCAAAGCTTGTTGCAAAAACATAAACCTTGAAGAAGGAAGACCTGTCCTTTTAAGCTCCAAATCATTTATTTTCCACTTTGCTCATAATTATTAGTAAACCGACTCCTGAAATACACAGACAACACATTGTTCTCTTTACCAAGTTCAGATCTCAGTTTACTGCGTATGATGATTTGATCCAAAGCTAGGCTTTAGCAATCTAACTTAGCCGGATTAAGTGGATATTTTCCAAAGTGCAGTCTAAAACCCAAATCCCTCTCTCTGTTTCCTCAGACAGTCATTTCTATTTACCTTTGGTGGAAGGAAAGCAAAACAGAAAGGACATTTTGTACTAAGCCAACAAGATACCCGCTTTATTTGTCAATTAGATTCATATAAACTGTTATTAGTTTAAGTTTAAGTCTGGTATGTGTTTTCTCTTTATCTATCAGTGAACAGCAGCAAGAATAATCCGCACTGTGTCCATAATGGAATGTGATTATTATTTTAAGACAGACCTGAAAACGGTGAACCAATCTGTTCAGGTGGCACTGAGCCTCAAAGTGAAGTATTATATGACCTTTCTTTAAACAGTTGAAACCAATTGTAAACCAACTGAGTGTGGTGGGGGTCTGCTAATCACAGACAGCTGATAAGGTTTCAATGTATTTGTCCCATCTTGGCAAAGCCCACGTGTGTTCCTGTGCTTGTCAATATGTTTCTACTCTGCATGCTCATGCACACACACAGGCCCACACTGACACTTTTTGAGGTCCCTTAGCAGGCTGGATTGTATTTTAGCTCAAATTGGTTTTGTCACAGTGTTCTGCTTTTCCTAAACAAGACTATTGATCGAGATCTGAGTCTGTTCTGGAAAAAAAGGACTCCTTAATAAAGCTTCACTACACACAACTTTATTTTATATGTATATTGGGAGAAAGCAGGCACCAAATTACAATGCAATGATATTTAATTAGAAGTCAACATGATTCCCTTTTTTTTCCATGTTTTGATTGTGTGGTTGGACCAATAATATTTAATTGGATGGAAGCATTATATTACCTTTAGTGCTATATGACCTGCAATGTAAAAACTATTTATTTTTTTATCTTAATATCTCAAATCCTATTATAACAAGAGCTTTGACCTCCCTCCAACTGGTCAGAGAGAAAAATAACGTTTCCTCTTCATTCTCTGAATACATAAAATACAAATGTATCTGTCTTTTCTTTTCGGTTCTGATCTACTGTAGAGCATTTCCACACACCTGCCTAATGCATTCACCTTGCAGCTTGTCATCAAGGCCACTTCGACGATATGCAAACATATGGACACGATCAGGCTGCCTTACCTTAAACAACATGTCTCTGCTGAACACCATCTGCCAAAAACGTCTGCACTCTCCAAGTCTGCAGTAGCTTGGAGCAGATAACAGGATTGGGAAGGAAGCGGCGGCTCAATCCAACTTTGTGTCAATCATGAATTAGGTGATGGACATAAGAGCTTCAGTGGCAATTCAACCTAAATGAAAAGATGGCAACATGTTCAAAACATTAAACAAGCAGCCCTGTCTGTCAAGGGGTGAAACGGCAGTTATTTAACTAGACAGAAAAAGTGGACTTACAAATCTTGGAATAGAATGTGCTGTGTTAGTTTGTACATATTGCATGCTGTATTACAATGTGAAACTTCATGTTCATATCAAGAACACATTAGGAAGACAGTTCACTGGAAATAAAGCCAAACACTGAAAAACAGGTGGTCATCTTCTAGCATCTGCCAAAGACTAGTCCAAGCGGGCATTAATGCCAGCACTGTAGAAGCTCAAAGGACCCTAGTCCCATAGTTAGCTGTGTTGTGAGTATATCTGACTGGCCTTTTATTTTTCTGTTCAATTCTGTCATTCACATTGATTAAATAATCAAATAAAGTACTTGTAGATACATGACATTTTCAATATTTTGTTGCGTTTTTTTTGTTGCTTGTGTCTGCTGGGACCAATGAAAGTATTTTTTGCCCGTGGGTAAACTCCTTCAAAACAAACATTTCATTGAGAGTGACTGACTTTGTCTTTAATCCCACAGTCCATATATATTAAGCCAGTGCTGAATTAAAATCCAATTATCCTTACATGAATGTGTTATCCTCTGACACAGGAAATGAGTCCAATTCAGTCTGCCTGGGAAAGTATAACATAAGATAACACAGAATTAAAACTCACAACCTAATCAACACGTCATATGTACACAGTATGAAGACCTAATCATTTAAATCTGAAAATTACCTGCTGCGCATCCGCATATAAATACAAATTACCTGACTGTATAAAATAATGACATAGTCTTAGTTTCTGAAGAGGCATTTTGAAGCCGAACCATGGCAGTCGCCATGTGGAATGCTCTTTCAACTTGACCCAAATATCATCAAAATGAATTAGTCATACAGAAAATTCCTTAAAAATAAACATCTTTATTTTTGCAGTGAAAATGGCTTTTAAATATGGGAGCTAGGGGGGTATTTAGAGCCAACCTTAAGTTCACTGCGGATATTGGCACTTCCGCATTGGCATCATTTTTCAGTAATCTTTTCTAAGGTTCCAACTTGTGTACATCCTGATTTATGTGTACAGTCAAACTCAATTAGGCCATTTAATTAGACTACTGTCCTTATCCAAGTAAACAAGCACCAGAGAATAATTGATTTATTGACGGTAGTACCAGTTTGTCCAATGGTGCTACTGTAGGTGGAGATATGCAGCATGGTTACTATTGGACCTTCTACGGTTGACCTATTACGTCACATACAAAACAATTGACAAATTGGCAAGTTAGCAAGCGGCAAATATTTTTTTCCTTCTATCCATGGACTTCAATATATATATTTAACTCCTTCAGCTGATACAACATAAATTGTTTCTCCAAAAATGTGTGGTTCAAGCTCAAGCACTCTGCATTCTTCTACGTCTTCTTCTACGGCACTATGCTGTATCAAAACCCAGGGCGGGTACTGTACAACTCAATGAAGAGGTTAAAGCATAAATCATGAAATTAAATCATGGACCGTTCTAGTATTTATCATTTGTAGAAATAATGTCTTGAATTGATAAAATTAAATAGTAGTATCATATCAACATTTATATTTTTGGGGTTGTATCAAGTCAACTTTGGTTATATTCTTTAATAATTATACTTAATTATTAATAATATAAATAAAATATCATTAAACTATGTTTAATCTCGTTTTGGGGCACCAACCTGTAATCAGGTAAATATAACCAAAATATCACTCAAATCAGTCTCAAATTAGTTATTTAATTACTAATATTATTAATAATGAATAACTATATTTAATAAATTGAAGGCGTGAAATCCGTACACAAAGCCTTCGCACCCAGCTTATATCACAATGTAAATACACCAGTAATCACAAACAACTTCTCTCTTAAATTATAACAGAATTTATTTAAACAAAGCAACATCAATCCAAAATCAATGAACTTAATTAAACAAATAACTATTATAAACTAATCTAAGCAACAAACATTATCAAGCAAAGGCTTGTGGAAGGGTGTGAATGTAGGTGTGTGTGTGTGTGTGTGTGTGTGTGTGTGTGTGTGTGTGTGTGTGTGTGAGAGAGAGAGAGAGAGAGAGAGAGGGAAGAAGAAAGGGGGGAGATGGCTTCGTACCCTCGTGGTCGTTCACGATGGCGCAAACCTAACAAAGACCTGGGTGCGTGCACGTGTGGATGAAAGGGAGAGAGAAGGGGGGGAAGATTACTTCGTCCCACGTGGTCGCCCTTCCGATGGCACACACCTAACAAAGGCCTAAATGTGGCCTTAAGGTCTAAAAGAGACTGAGTTCGGCCCTACACAATCTGTGTCTCTGAGGCGTCTGGATAGCCGCGAGT